AGTAGTAGTAGTAGTAGTAGTGTATACATACATACATATACATTTATATGGGGCCCCGAACACGGCGAGAACCAGGCACCACGGCCTGGCTCGGCTCCGAGCTCGTGTCCATGGATGCAGAGGGCGTCTTGTGCAAACAGCAAAAGCTCAAGCTATGTCTTAGGGCTCAGGGTTTTAGGGCACTTGGGGATTCAGGGTAAAGTTGAGGGTTGAGGCAGTGTAGGCTGCCGGGCGTCTTGCTTCCGGCTCCAAGCCGCAGGTTTCCTGAGCATGATCTTGGCTGCCGCCCGGGAGTCGCCACCTTTGGCCGACTTCCGTCTCGAAGAGCCCAACTTGGCCAAGCTGAGGGATGCCAGGACTTTGCTCAGCAGCTTCACTGGCATCGTGTCCCGCACCGCGCCGAGTACGAAACTCTTGGAGCCCAGCTTGCCCGATGCTGTGGTTAAAGAATGGGCACCTGGCATCTTTCGACTGCTGCAGACGCTTGCCAACGTCTACGTTGAGGCCGCTGCCGGCGATGAGCTTGCGCGGCTGTTGGTGTTTTTCCCGGCTAAGCCCGAGTTAGAGGGCGTGCTGGGGCGATACCTGAGCTCGGACGAGGAAAAAGAGATGCTGGAGAAGTTTTCCGGTGGGCTGAATCCGCGCTGGATCCTGGCCATCCGTGGTCTCCTGCATGAGCTTCGATGCCATGCGGCCAAAGCAGCTCGTTCATGCATGGCCTGCCATGGTTTCTGGGAGATGGACGACTCTGTGATATGGTTGAGGGATGTTGCACAGAGCATCACTGGCATGCGGCCTCACGCTGCGGAGCTATATCTGCGGGAGCTGTTTATGCCCCTGGTCAGGACCCAAGGTCTCATGCAGGATGCACGCCTGGGGGACTTCAGCAAAGCGTTCTTGCCTGCCCTAATCAAGGGAATCTCAACGAGACTGCAAGACGCCTGGGCCGTGAACGGCGTCGACGACGCTTGGGTGGTTTTTTGTTGAGTGATGTTTGTTTTAGACTTGTGGGAAAGGGGCCAAAACCAAACAGTGTCCACAACCCTAGTTCGCCCTAATTAGTTTCCTCTTGGAATCTCAAAAGCAGTCTATTGCATCACAGAAAGCACCAGGCGGAGTCGGCCGTGGTGAAGATGAGCACTGAAACTGCGGGATTTGCATGGCTCGACCCCGCACATGCCGCGTCGGCCGTCTCCTTCTCCCGAGCAGCGGCTACCTGCAGCATAGTCGAGGAGCGGCTTTTGCATGTTTGCAGATTCGATAGTGAAAACGCCCAAACCTGTCAATAACTTTGAAAGCTGTGATCACACATGAACAGCAGTCGGGCAGTCAGTCTTGCAGTGGTCGAAAATGAAAGAAACTCTGCAACACCAAAATACGCATGCTACCCCACTCTCCATGATGTCCATCGCCTTGTACAGATCAAGTACTGAGGCCCAAACCAAAGCCCCGATCTGCCAAGGTTCACTTGCTGGCTGCCTTAGCCGGGACGGAGCTACCTCAGGCCAGGTCCTGCGCGAGGGAGAATTCTGCTACGTGATGACCGGACCAAAAGCATTTTCGGACTAGAGGCTCGAGGCCACACAAGATAGCAATGGTTGACATGTGCCGCTAATCAGAAAGACTTAGCATCGGGGCGGCATTATTGTTTCCCTAGCACGCGTTTGGGTCGTTCTTGAGACTTGTCTGAGTGGCTCTGACAGTGTGGTGGTTTGGCTTGGGGCTTAACCTACGGCCTACGGCCATTTTAGACTGTTCCAGCCTTTTTCGCAGAGCCTCTTATGCCTTGCCCCGCAGAATCAAAAGGTCTTGTGAGGATTCGGGGCTTCAGCGGGTTTGCCAGAAAGATGCCGAGGCTTTGTATAGCTCCTCCTGGTGTCGAAGCCTTATCGTCTCGACAACCTCACAAGTCGATGCAGAGGGCCTATCAGAGCCTGATGTGCCTCACCCTGCCCCGGCAGCTTGTGAGGCAAACCAGCTGGAAGATCCACAGGTTCGGGTCTTCCAAGCCAAGCGGTCGGTACCCCAATCGTCGGGCAATCGCAAGAAGAGGCCTCTCGCCGAAGATTTGCAGTTTAAAGGGGAAGGGTGCTTTATGCGGCTACGGAAGCCGGAAGCATGCAGTTGCACGTCAGCAACACTTGAGCACTGGACTGTACTCTAACTTTCCTGAGTTGAGTATCCCGGGTCTTTCACCGCGATCTCGAGCTTGGGCTGTCCTTTGCACAAATACTCTCCAGCTCCGTCGGACAGTCACCGCTAGTTGCAACCTTCCCTCGCCAGCATCGCAGCAATGAGGGAGCTGGTGGAAACGTCTTATCTTCAGAGAAAGGATTTGCACCCCTCGCTCATTGCCTCCAAGCCGAAGACCCTGAGAGATGCTGCTTGGAAACCGAGGAAAGGCCAAAATGCCAACAGATTCGCCGCACTGGAGCACGGGGATGCCATGGAGGCGGAGGCGCAAGCTGAGCAGGCACCTCGGTGGACGGCGGCAATGACACCCCAGAACACCCCGATCTAGCTCCCAACCATCCGCCTCTGAACCTCTCAATTTGAGTGAAACCCCGAAGCCATCAGAAGCCCCTCTGAGGTGGTCAAGCCGCAGGCAGGGCGCAGTGCTCCAACCGGTCTGGTTGCGAGCATCCTCAGAGACAGCCAACTCCGCCTCTTGGGCCGAGCTTACTTCTTGATACTATGAGAGAGAGCTTCGGGCGACGGCTTCAAGTCCGACGGTTCACCATGTGGGTAACACAAGAGATACGGTTGCATGGAGTTGGCATCAACGGGCTACTACGTGAGGGGGTGATTTGAGATGGACTGCGAGTTGCTGCTTGCTGGTCATAGGCATAGGGATCAGACCTGCAATCGCTGTCACAATGACAATCGCACCATACTTGCATGCAGCCTTACGAACTGCTTGGTCACATTGATCAGGTCGTCTGTGTTGTTCCCATGCAATCCAGATTAGCATGCTCAAAGTTCTGAATGATGCTTTTGGGAAGCACTCCTCACTCGTCATGATTGATGTTTACAGTCTACATATCTGAAAAAGCCCTAGCAGTTTTTACTTGTCAGCACAATGCCACTTTCTCTCATTTCCAGGGGGTCTAAATCATGACGAAAAGCTTGTCATGTTGTGCACTTCCAATCATCCGGAACTGGTGCCGGCCACGCCGGACCTGTGATAATTGGGCAGGACTACCATGTGTAAAAAAATATGACCAGGGTTTAGGGTATAGGGTTTAAGGGCAGGTGACTGATAGCCCTCATGCTGATGACACTTGCAATCGCGAGGTGGGGGAGGTGCTGGCAGCAAGGGGTTCGAGAGGTTGGATGGAGCGGTGCACGGTGGTTCAAAGCCCAAGAACCCGAAGAACTTGAAGCCGCGCCCGCATGCATCCTGGTAACTGAAGGCGATACACTGCGTGGGGCGCTCTCGGAGTTCCTGCTCGTGCCGGAGCGCTTCGGGGAGAAAAGTTACCAGATTTAGCGCGAACTGTTTGTGTTTTGAAGCGGTGCAGTGAGGCATTGGGGCCATCATCAGTTGGGGACTCTGCTAAGTTACTGATAATGTCAACAGCTGAACCCATGCTGAGGACCTGTACCACTCAACCCTTAGACTCCGACTCCAACCCAAGGAAAGAGACAATGACGCGTGCTTTAGCTGGGCTGGCGGCCTGGACCTCGCAGCTCTGGAACATGTCCTCTCGATGCAACTGATGTGTTTGGGGGAAGGGGGGGGGGCCGGGCACCTGGGAAGCACTCGCATGATTAGAGCTTCACGAAGTAGGGCCTGAGGACTGCAACTTCTTGCTCTTGTCCTTCGGGAACTATGAACATGTCTAAACTCCTCAATGCTGTCTCCGTGTTTTCTCTTGTCCCCAGCCCTTGATCTTGAGGATCGCACGCGGAGAGGATTTGGCTGCACTCTCCACGGGGAGCTCTGCCGGGGATCGATTACCGGAAACCGGCGAGATCCTGCACGTGGCAAGCGATGTCCTGCGGATCATTCCACGAGGAATCCTGAAACCAATCGGGGAGGTCGTCGCTGGCAAAAGTCCTCGCCTGCCCCCGGATGGAGGTGCCCTCTGCAATGCGGTGCAGCACAGCTGGAGCAGCTTTGCTGCGGCGAGCGTGGCAGACACCAAGCCAAGCCCCTCTCTCCTGGTATCTCGGCTGCATTGGTGAGCCCAGGCGGCATCCCTCACCCTTTTCCAATGCGAGAGTACGCATTTCGTGCGTTGGAGATCTGCCGAGGTGAGCGAATGCACGAACCCAGTATTCATCGGCTTACTGGTGCTGGTGAAGTTCTTCAAACTCCAGTGCCGGAAGCTGGAACCTGGGCCGACTTTTTTTCGTTTTAAGGAAACCCCGCAGCCAGCACCAGCCTGCGTTTAAGTCCGGCTTGTATCCTTTATGCAGGGCAGTTCCCGGTCAGCACTCCTGCCACACAAGATGGAGGTTCTGCTAGTTGCTAGCTGCTGGTATATGCCTCACCATCATAATCCTAAGCTTCTGCGTTCTCGTGGTTCCTGGCGTTTGTTCCGCAGTACCTTAGGACTGGAAGTACATAGAGGCTTCAAGAAGAAGACAAAGACTTCCCTTCACTGTTTAGTATTTCCTCACCCCGGGACACATCAAGGAGCTGTCTACCGACGCTGCGCAACTCTATCTGTGTCCACCGCTGGTGGAGGCCTAACCTCCCTTGAAGGCTGTCATTCGGGGTCCTTATAATAAGGATCCTCTACTATTTAGGGTACAAAATTAGGGTCCCCCATTTTCGGAAACCCCCCTTATGGGTACGAAAGAGTATAAGGGGTAGGGTTCTACTACACTCAGGAGCCGAAGCCTCAAGACCCAACTGCCGATGTACTCTTCCGTCAGGGCCGAAACCATGTTTAGGTTTTAGGTTTTAGGGTTTTAGGGTTTAGGGTGTTGGGTTCGGTAAGTGACAGCAACGACGGTAGCAGCAGAAGAAGCAGCAGCAGCGACAACAAAAGCGACCACAACCAGAATAACAAGAGCAATAGTCACAACAGCAACATCAAGCACAGCAGCAGCAAGAAGAACAGAAGTGGGGAGAGAGGCGGTGGCAGTTGTCGCTCTTGTGGTGACGCTCAAAGTGAGTCAAACTTCAACCCTCATCAGAAGAAGTAGAAGTCACAAGGCCAGAAATCTTCGAAGTTTGCGAAGATTCATGACCCTCCGCTTGTGAAAGGCTTTGCGAGTTCTGCAGGAGCTGCCGAACACGAGCCAGGATCGCAGGGGGTTGGCGGGTGAGAGCAATTGCCACAACACCAGGTTGGACAGGTGTAGGGTTTAGGGTTTAGGGTTTAGGGGTTTACAGTCCCCTATAGTTGATCTTGGCTCTGAGCTCTGTTGAGGGAGTGTGGAGCCACCAGGTTAATTAGCTGCTTGTGTTCGGCAGCTTATCCACTCAACGACCACCACAGCCGCTGCCGCAACCACCGCCACCAGTGCCAGCACCGCCACGCGACGTTGTTCTTCCTCACCATCGTCGTTCTCACATTCTGCCATGATGCGCAGTAGGGCTGTAGTGCGCAGCACCATTTCTATGCCTTTGTCGCGTGGCCATTGCTGAAGCAAAGCTCATGTTCCTGAGGGTTCAGTCCTTGGTATTGCCCAACGGCCCCAGACCGATTTGAATCCCAGCGAGGGTCTGTTTGCTCACTGGACAGGGTGGTTGGCTTCAGTGTAACCTGGAAGGTCTATTGAAGCCCTCATAAGGCCTGCTTTGAAGTCTAGGATGATGCCGAGACACTGCTGGACAGCTTGTTGAAGGAAGGCGGGGCGTGCGCCTCAGTAGCTGCCAACCGCACGCCACACTCTTGTTGTTTGTGCCGGGAAGCTTCTGCTGGTACCCCGAACACCCATGAATCTTCTTCAGTGAATCATGTCGACTGCAAATTCGTCTCCACTCCGGAGTTGATTCACTGAATTGTGTCGCTGGGCCATTGCATTCGGCGCTTCGTCGTATCAGTTTCAGACGAGCAGCTGAGGCGGGAGTCTCCCGAGACATGCAAAGAAACCTGGTCCGTGCTTTGCTCTTCGAAGCATCGCCAGGGCCCCGCACTTCCTTGGGGCCAAGGGGGAGTCGCTGAGTGCCAGAGTTAGCTTTTGTCCTTCTTTCCCTGGGCCCTAGACCCCACAAGCTTTGAAGCCAAAGAGGTCCTGGAGCTTATAGGAACCAACTTGTTGTTTGGCTACTGCAAGGCTGGTTCCAAATACTATTTGCCAAATACTCGGATGACCTGGTTTACCTCTGTCATTCCTGCTGGATGTTGCGGTTAATGTGTCGAACTACTTGCCGGCTTTCGATCACAACTTCTGTTTCGCTTATACCATGTTTATGATGCATGGTTGTTGCCGTCACAGTTCTTCTACGTAGACAAGATTTGAAGTTTGCACTGAGTGTCGGCATGGTGGCACGTTCTGGTGTCTCACGCGTGCTTACTGGAGTTGCGCCTCAGCAGCTGCATACTCAACCTGCAAGGACTGGACCAACCTCTCGGCTCAAACCAAACCACGGCTAAATCAAGACCCTGACCTACTTAAGCCACACGATCTAATACTCCTCACTGTTCCAAGTTCCAGGAATCAAAGCCCTACAAAGCTTCGCTCCCTTTGGTCCCGCCTCCAGGCCTTGCTTCCGAGGCTCCGGGGACGAGGTGACTGCAGAACAAGAGCAGGCAGCAAAAGGAGCGCAAGTATCGGAGGTTTGGGGATGGAGGTTTAGGTTTTATGGGTTTCAGGGTTTGGAGGGGTTCAGAGTGTCGGAGTTACTGGTAGTCAAGATTGCTGTTGCTGACGATGCTACTGCTGTGTTTGTGTAAGCACATGCATATCATGAGCAGGTGCACATCACCACTGCTTGTCGCGCAGTCGTAGGGGCAGTGGTAGAAATGGTATAGTGGTTGTTGTCGTAGTGGTCGTAGTAGTCATCGTCGTAGTAGT